ATGCAAGGCTTCCTCAATTCTTGTGGATTGAAGCACTTAAGACAACTGTGTATATATTAAACAGAGTTCCAACTAAGGCTGCCTCAAAGACACCTTTTGAATTGTTCAAAGGTTGGAAACCTAGTTTGCAACATGTACACGTTTAGGGATGCCTGTCTGAAGTGATAATTTATAACCCAAAAGAGAAGAAACTTGACCCTAGGACTTTTAGTAGATATTTCATTGGATATGCTGAAAAGTCTAAAGGGTATAAGTTCTATTATCCATTTCGTAGCAGTAGAATTGTGGAATCAAGAAATACAAAATTTCTTGAAAATGATTTGATTAGTGGGAATGACCTAATTCAAGACACTGCTCTTGAAACAGATCATTATAAAGCTAAACCCTCTGAATCAAATGATAGATTAATAGTCATTCATGCTCCTCCAATTCAAGAGCGTATTAGACAACCAGTTATCCAAGTTCCACAAGCAGTTGAATATGATTTGGTAGATCAAACTATTGATGAGAAGCCACAAGTAAATGTTAATCAACCTGTTAAAGAAGTGGTTGAACAACAAGTTCCTCATCAAGATAATGAGACAACATTAAGAAGATTTACTAGAGTCAAAAAGTCGGCATTTCTAGTAACTATGTGATGTATTTACAAGAATTTGACTATAACGTAGAAGCCAAAAATGATCCTGAAACATTTTCACAAGCCATGAATTCTAAGGATTCAACTTTATGGTACAATGCCATGAAAGATGAGATGTATTCTATGGCATCTAATAAAGCCTGGAATCTCGTTGAGTTACTTGAAGATGTAAAAGTCATTGGATGTAGGTGGGTCTTTAAAACCAAGAAAGACGCACAAGGCAACATTGAGAAACATAAGGCAAGACTTGTTGCCAAAGTGTTCACTCAAAGGGAAGGAATCAATTACAAGGAGACCTTTTTTCCTGTGTCTAAAAAGGATTCTCTTTGAGTGATTATGGCATTGGTAGCTCATTTTGACCTTGAGTTATATCAAATAGATGTGAAGACAACGTTCCTCAATGGTGATATAGAAGAAGAGGTTTACATGAAATAACCTAAAGGATTCTTCTCTAGTAACAGTGAGCATTTAGTATGCAAGCTTAATAAATCTATATACGGATTAAAACAAGCCTCCCGTCAATGGTATCTAAAATTTCATGAAGTCATATCTTCATTTGATTTTGAAGAAAACATCATGGATCAATGTATATACTTGAAGGTTAGTGGAAGTAAGATTTGTTTCCTTATTTTATACATGGATGATATTTTGCTTGCGGCTAATGATAGGTGTATACTATATGAAGTGAAACAATTTCTCTCAAAGAATTTTCATATGAAAGATATAGGTGAGACATCTTATGTCATAGGTATTAAGATCCATAGAAAAATGATCTCGAGGCATTTTGGGTTTGTCTCAAGAGACCTATATTAACAAGGTTTTAGAGAGGTTTAACATGAAAGATTGTTCACCAAGTGTAACTCCTATTGTGAAGGGTGATAGGCTTGAATTGAGTCAATGTCTGAAGAATGACCTTGAGCAGGAACACATGAAAAATATTCTATATGCTTCAACTGTTGGAAGTCTTATGTATGCTTAGGTTTGCACTAGACCTGACATTGCATTTGCGGTTAGAGTTTTAGGAAGATATCAGAGTAATTTAGGTGTTGACCATTGGAAAGCTACAAAGAAAGTAATGAGATATCTTCAAGGAACAAAGGATTACATGCTTATGTACAAACGGACTGATGCTTTGGAAGTGATAGGCTACTCTGACTTAGACTTTGCTGGCTACATTATTACCAAGAAATCTACATTTGGTTATATTTTTATGCTAGTTTATGGAGCTATATCTTGGAGCAATGTGAAGCAAACCTTGATTGCTACTCCTACTATGGAGGCTGAGTTTGTTTCTTGTTTTGAGTCTATCTCACATGGTGTATGATTGAAGAGTTTTATATCTAGGCTTAGAGTTGTGGACTCTATATCTAGGTCATTGAAGGTGTATTGTGACAACTTTGCTACAATATTTATGACTAATAATAACAAGAGTCGAAGTCGAAGTAAACACATCGACATCAAATATTTAGCCATAAGAAAATGTGTTAAGGAACATAAAGTGGTCATTGAACATGTTAGCACTGAGATGACCGATCCTTTGACTAAAGGCATGCTACCAAAGAATTTTAAGAATCATGTAGCACAAATGAGAGTTGGTTCCATGATGTGACAATCATTATAGGTACTTTTATTATTTTTTATAAGACTTTGATTTAGACTTATTGCTTTCTCTTTCATTTTGTGCACACTTTTGTTTGTTTGAGAAATATCATTTAGTTTTGACCTTGAATGAACATGTAGTTTATTTATTAAGTTGATAGTTAGTGTTAAGAGACTTGATATACTGTGATACATGGAAGATAATACTCATTATTAGAAGAACTTTTACCATGATTCATATATTTAGTTTCTTATTATGGTTAATAATGAAATTAATGGATCAAGTGGGAGAATGTTAACAATCAATTTCTGTTTCTAATTTTGATTTTTCAGAAACATTACGTGATTCATATAACCCCATTATCTACGTCTATTTTTATTCTATGTGAAGGTTACTTTCACTAATTTTTTAGAATGAGCTCTATGATAGATAAAATTTTATAAATATTTTACTCTCCCATAATTTTAGGTTATCAAATCCGCTCCTCTCCTTAGAACAAAATACATCATTGTGCTTGAATGAGTCAGAGTTTAGAAAACTAGAACTGCAACCACAAATTAACCTTGTAGGTTAGTGTTCTAAATCTGTTGTTTCGCTTCTGTTAGCTTTATTACGGTTTTCATTTTTGCATTTCGTAATTTACACTCGATACTATTGGAAAGCTAAAATCATACTTTGAGCACTGGAATAAAGCTAGATACAGGGGATTCAGTTCCAAAGCTAGATCTTCGTTGTCCCATTTAACAAATTATGCAGCAAATGGATATAAAATACAAGAATCTGGATATAACCTAAAAACACACACACATATAACTGATATTAATTAAATATGGTTATTTCTAATTAATGGACCTTAATATGGTGCAGAAAAGGTTCGTGAGGCTGATTGAAGATGGTTTGATTTCTTGGGACGATTTCTCGTCAAGGGTTAAAAGCATACATGGAAAAAGAATTGGAGCTCCTCATCCTAGAAAAGTCCATCAACACCCCAAATGGGAAGAAAGCTTATGCAAATCCTTATCCAGGTTGCATTGGTGATGATCATGTGAGAATGATGAAAGAAATAAGTCAAAATTCATGACAGTCACTGGTATTGAGCCATTAGATGCGAGGTAGCTCTTTCGGATGTATGCAAATGTGCATACCAATTTGGAAGTTTGACTACAAAAGCATAGATTGGAATTGGGTTGTGTCTTCTCAGTAATGTTGCCATTGTTTTTGTTCTCCGTTTCCACCGTCCACGTCAAAGTTACCACCGCCACCCACTGCCTTCGTCTTCCTGCAGCTCTAGTCAGGTTCCCTTCAAGTGAATTTGAAGCTAAATGATTTTGAGGTCTTCCAAGTAAGTGTAACTGGATTTTGATATGAAGATGAATTTTTAAAATGAAAGAAAATTAGAAGCACAAAAACACGAGCATTATAATTGTTGGAAGAATATAGTGACATAAATCCGCGAAAACAATAAGCCAGAGCATTTGATTGGGTGTTGGTTTGTTCTTAAATTTAATCCCATGTCTGGTATCCAAATACTCGTACGCTGGGCTTGCAAATATCTACCAGAATCAGAAGAGAGGTTATTAATTAGGCCAGTTATACAATTTAAATTAAAAAATCAGTAGCAGCAAAATTCCAGTTTAGAAGTTACTGCATGCAATGCAATGACTGATTGAAGAAAGTCTGCAATATTGGCCATGCCCAGTATTGAAGATCCATTAGCGCTGTATTCATTGGGAAGTTTAATATGCCACTATATATATACACTATGTGATACTCCATGTCGCTACACTTGAACTAATGGATATAATGACACTATCAATTCCAAGAGGGAGCTAGAGATAAAATAGTCAAATTTTAAAAGTAAATTTTGTGGTACACTTAACAATTTTTAGATTATTATAATTAAAAAATTTTAATCAATAACACTGGTTTAAATAATAAATTTATTTAATAATAAATTATTATATTTATTATATTTAAATAAGTTAAAAAAACCGTCTTTAAATAAAATTAGGACACAATTAAAATTAAATAAATAAAAATTTAAAAATAAAGTAATAATATTATATTAATATATTTTTTATATTTTTAATTCTATTATTATTAATATTTAATTATTATATTAATATATTATGTTATAATTTTTTTATTTATAATAAATAAAAATTATATTCTATTTAAAATTAAAAATATTTATATACATATTTAAATAATAAATTTATTTAATAATAAATTATTATATTTATTTATAATAAATTATGTTCATTTCGCTTGAGTCATAACTTGTGTACACGAATTGTCAATATTTAATTGGATAAGAATTAACTTGTCTTTTCTGAACAAGAAGCAAATTAAGCAGCATATATATAGATAGATATCTTCTTCAATCTTCCAGAAACGTGAATCTTTAGCGAATCACGTGAGGTGACACGTGCCGTGTAGCAATTTCATGCATGCATGCACCTCTGTTACGTGTCCACGAAAAGAAGCCAATAATAAATTATCAAGCTCGTCAAAACCTTACCACTCACACGTCAGCATTACACGTGGCAAATATGCAAATAGGAACCAGCAGTCCACAGTAACAATTGGACGCGTGGCACCATGGAATATTCTCACGTCCATTCTTCCTCCTTTATAAATCACCCACCGTGAAAATTAAAGCCATAGCTTGAACCTTAGACAATGAAGTATTCATTTCCAAGGAAAAAAATTATTAAAAGGAAGAGCAAAACACCTGTTTGTTTCCCGGGAAAGAGACAGAAAATGGCTACTACCGAGGAACCAATTCTCTCTAGGATAGACCGTTTGGATAACATGGTAAGTGTCCCACTTTTAGTGGCTTTATTTTTCTTAGATTTATTTTCATGTAATTAATATATACTGCCATGAAGAATCTTCTTTTATGTTGTAAGTAAAAAAGAGTGAGTTTTAGATTTGTCCAACGCTTAAAGTCACTTCTTAACTCACAAGCAAGCTAAAGTATAGCAAAGGGCGATTCAGAAAATGTTAAAACAATTTTTCTTGAGAGTATGAACGGTGGAGAGTTAGAAGAAGCATATTTCAAACTTCTTATGATTCAAACTGAAATAATTTGTAAATTTAATTGAGTTGTACTGAAAATCTGTTTATTGCTTGGTTTTAAACTTTTTCTCTTGGTTTTTAAAAACTATATAGTAGAAAAAATTTTAAGACTGATTTGGAGAAGAAGACGAGGTAGTATAAAAAAGAACATGAATAATAAAAAAAATAGAAAACTCTTTTTTAAAAATACAAACAGATGTCTTTTACTTTTAATCTTAAAAAATTTAAAAATTAGTGATTTTGAAGGTAGTTTTTGTTTTATTTTGTACTTTTTAAAAAGAAAATAGTAAAAAAAAAACAACACGCCCCTAAAATTTTTCTCTGGTCAAAGATTTGTGAAGAATTTACATTAGTTCTCTAACAACTATCGCAAGTTAAATAGAAATTGATAATTACGGAGTTCTTTTAATGGACTATAAAAATAACAACTTTTTTATGTTTAATATGAAATTGAAAATTGTGGTTGCTTTTCATATTATTATATTAAAAAAATGCTTCAGTTGAGGCACCTGGAGGAAATTAGAGGGTACAATCGATCTCCAAAGAGCTCGTGTGCATCCACTCCAACAAGTGGAAGTGATGGACACGTGTCATCTGTTGATTTCTCCCCGAAGAACTTGGAGAAGCACTGCCGTCCGATCGAGAACGTGATGATGGAAACGGAAGTCAAAGGAACGATGATAGAGAGACTCAACCAAGTGGAAGATCGCATGCTGAAGGTATGACACGTGGACAGTTTTGACCATTTGATCTTGGCATGAATTGAGGTTCATGATTATTTGGTAAGGTCTGATGTATCTGTATGAAAGCTTTGTTTGCAGCTTGAGGAAGAGTGGGCAGCAGAGACGAAGAGAGAAGAAAAGAAGAAGGTGAACAGTCCAAAGAAGGGTTTGAAACAGTTTGTGAAGCAATGTGTGAAAGCCAGGGGAAAACAACATGATAATAAAAAAGCATCAATGAATAATAACCATTAATTGTAGCTGCTTCAATTGTGCTAATGCTTTAATATTAGTCTTTATAAATATCAAATTTTTTTAGTCTTTAAAATATTGAATTTAAAATTATCAAACGTAGGAATAGGAATTAAAATTGAATATATATTTTTTTTATAGAGATCAATATTAAAAATAGTGACATTTTAGAGATTAATTATTTACTTAAGTCTTAATTTAAATGTATATATTTTTTGGTCAAAACATTTATATTCATCCTCAAATGAGGGCACTTTTCAAGTTTTGGTTTCCATTGGATTTTGATCCATTCTCTACAATAAGATGACTTCATTTTTAGTAATAGGATGATATTATGTTATTTTCAAACGGAAGCTTACATGTATAAAATGTAGATAAATAACAAATTTAGTTTCGATGTAAGGTTGATAAAATATTATCAAAAGATATTATTCTTTTTAAAATGATAATATTTAACTCGCGAACAAGAGAATGGATGGCAAAAAAAAAGTGAATAAAAAAAATGAAATAAGATAAAAAGGGTCAATAAAAAAAATCTTAAGTCAAGTTTGCTTATTAAGATAAAATATAACCTAATGAGTATTAATATATTATGTGCATCTCAAGTTGCATGACTTTCTTGATCCGATTCTGGATCAATATTTGAAACATTGATAATTTTATTTTTATTTAAAAGACAGGAATCAAACTTGACTCAAGATACTCAGACTAAATTGAATTAAGAAATAAGGTAGAATTCTAAATATCTTCAACAACAATTGATTTAATTATAATTAAATTACAGTCAAGTTAAAGATATTAAATATGTATTTTTAATATCATACTTTACGTGAAGCCATAAATTAACATATAATCATATAATATTGAGTTACGTAAAACTGGCAATAACAAGTTTAGAGGAAGAGTTTGATTGAAGGAATCAGTCAAATACGAAGGTTACATACAAACAAATTGTTCAAACTACCAACTTTACTTTAATTTTGGTAATTAGGTAAATCTTTATTGAAAAATAAAAGTAACATACTTTTAGATATATTCTTTTAAATATATTTTTTTAATTATTTAAATTTATTAAAAGTTATAAAAATGATATGTGTCTTATTATTAATTTATTTTAATAACTCATATTAATACTTATAATTTTAATAAATTTAAACGAATAATAGATTGTTTAAAAAGAATATTAAAGAGTGTATTCTAAAACTCTTCGATTCTTATCATCTCATTTCCTCTTCATACACACGTCTTTACTGAAAAATGATTGATGTCTAGCTTTCGTTAAAATTGTAATTTTTCTTATATTTTGAAATATATAGGTTTGACCATTTCATTTGATTTTATAAATAATAACTGTTTGATCTTCAAGACTTGCTATTTTTTAAGAATTTATTTTAGAACGAGTAAAAGAAAGGTATTCGAATTTTAATTGTCATTTTAATAAGTTAAGATGATAGAAGTGTTACAAAATATGTGTCAATTTTACTCCTAAGTTAAATTTATGAAATAGAACATAATAAAAATGTTATAATAATAAATAATGTTTTAATCCTCTAAAAATATGTATTTTTCTATTTAGTTTGATAATTATTTTTTATTTTGTTCTTCTTTTAATAATTTATTATTTATTTATTTTTATTTAGTTTATATAATTTAATTCAGATATAACATGAACAAAATGTGTCTAACAATATTATATATTTTTTTATTTTTAATAAAATTTAAAGTTATAAAGTTAAGACTTTTGAAATTAAGATTAAAAAATACATATGAAAAAAGATATAAATATCTTATAATTATTCACATTAATTATGTGATATATTATATAAGTAAATACAGGAGAAAAGTAACAAAATATTAAAGTGACAGAGCAAAAAGTAAAAACAATTTTTTAGAAGCTTATTTAAGAATAAAAAATGAAATCAAATGCAAAAAATCGTAAACATTTAAAGAACTAAAATCTTATTTTAAAAATAAAGTTGTATCTTGTACCAAAATAGTTACTAATAATCGTTGACCAACTTAACACCCCATTCATAATCTAGACATCTCCTTATATATGGAAAAGCTTTACCAATATCATCTATGGGCTTTCCCATGCAATCAAGTTTAGGAGGAAAATGAAAACAAGGGTCCACAGAGAAGTCTCTCACACATTGAGGATTCTGGATTTTTTGGTTTTGTGAGTTGTGCAGAACCCAAGGTTTCAGGCCTCCCAAACTTTGAGCCACATACCCAAAAGTTGAAAAAGAGCTGGTCACCAAAACATCACATAAACTTAATAGATATATTTCTGTCCACGCCTTCATGTTATGCTTGTTATCATTGAACTTTTGATGCTCTTCATGACTTGGCTGATAAACACTTATCACATCCCCAGAAACAGTTGGTCTTGTCAAATACATAGTCCTAAGGTTCTCACCATACTTTGGATAAAGAGATGCTACAAGAACAGACTTCAAAGTCTGATTTTGCACTGCAAAATATTTTGAATCTTCGGTGCTAATGTTGGGTAGTATATTATTCTTCAGGGTGCAATTTAAAATCTGATTCATAATTGTTTGATATGGGGTTTTATGGGGACTGAATACTCTTATTTGGATGCCAATTCTCTCATCTGCTCTGGCTAAATATGCTTGATAGAATCTGCGAATAGGTCCCCATGCCTCATTTGAAGGGAGAAAGAGGTAGCGTCCCAAATGGTGAAAGACAGTGTCTTTCTTAGGGAACATTTTGCTTAGCTCTTGGCTGAAGGATGGAACCATGAAAAGAGAAGGTACAAAATATTGATTTGCACACAAAAACAAGAGAGGAACTTCTTGAAGAAGATGTTGGGTATCATCACATCGGAGAAACCTTTCATGATCTTCATGGGTATGTCTTATCTTCAAATTCAGAGCTGATGGTAAAATCTCCTTTGAATTGTTTTCCTTGTGTTTTTCTGACATGCTTTCATATGTTCCAACATGTCCTTTGTCGTTACTAAAGGGAAAGTTCTTGGGTAATAACCATGATGAATTGGGAAATGGTTCACAAAATAGATCAACCATATCATCCTTAAATTCCACAAGTAGGACTCGATCTGTTAGGATTGCATAGAGGAATGCTGAAATCATGCTCACCATTCTGTTCCCTAAGCCATCTGAAGCTGTCCACACAACGTAGTTACATTCATAGGTAAAATTGGTCCAATGTTCTCGGAGCATCACCATGGTCCTGTTGTAAGGTCTAGTGTTTGGTCCACAACTCTTGTGAAGATTTTCGTAGTTGCGTAGTTTGGCTATGAGATATGGAGAGGGTTTATGAGGGGATGCTTTGTGATATAAGTAAGATTCAAATCTGCTTAAGCATGATCCTTGATCAAATCGTGAAAGGACTGTTAGTCCATCAAGTGTTTCAGAAGAATTTTTTTTTGAACCTGCAAATTCAGATATTTTAGATTTTTTTTAAAAGGATGAAAAGGAAAAGTCAACACATATTACTTGTTTAAAACAAGAGATAGAAATTGATATTACCTTCAGTTGATTCTGTAAGATTCTTATTCCCTTTTGCATTATCTGTGACTTTTTGAGATTTTTCTCCCAAAGCCATGTCCTTTATTGTAACATTGTGATATTTTCCATTCAGTACCTTACTTTTTAAAAAATCCTCAAAATAACCAAAATTTGAGGTAAACATTAGTATGATTAGAGAGAAAACTAAGGCAAAGATGGTCAAGGAAACTCTGATCCTTTTGGAACTAAACTCCAACCAATTCATGTTGACTTGATTGTTGTGACTTGTACATGTGCCTCACCTTTGATGGTAGTAATCTGCAATCACTATCTCCTTCTAAGATTATGATGAATTCATATAATCATTCTCTCAAAATATTTAGATTACAAAAAATAGCATCAATAAGAAAATTCAAGTATACGTTACAGACACAACAATTATATGTTCTTGACTTTATTCTAATTGCAAAGCAGCACAGCAACATTAATGTAGAGCCAAAAGCCAACTCAAAAAATCAGAAGACAAAAAATACGATTAAGAGATGAAAGAGGGTCCTTTTATCATATTATTTGTTATTTGACTTTATTTTTTTGGTTAATCGACAGAAAAGGCTTAACATGTCCTACATGGAAAGCCTGAATAAAGTTTGCCCGTCAAAACAAATTAAAGTTCTCAACTTTGACTGCAATACACATACATCTAAAAATTAAAAAATCGCCATAATGCTTATTTGGTTGAATTGTAAGAATATATTCCATAAAACATGTAGACCACAACTAAAAATACTTCATGAAATTTATATAACTTTAGGTAAAAATAAAAACTAATAAATCAGTGTCTATGCGTAGATCAAACAGAAGTAAAAAATAATATATTTTATCATTCTATTTTCAAAAGAATGAGAATATGAAACAAATTAAAGCCTAAATAGAATGAGATCAAAGCTGGGCAAGACCACGTACCTGTAGAAGATTAAGTCTTGCAAATGACTTTTTCAAAAAAAATTATGTAGCACTTGTCTGTGTATATAATATATAATTTGTTTTTGTTTAAAGGATATTAAATATACTTACTATGCTGATCATTGGGAATAGTATCAAAACATTATTTTAGAATTTCACTAAATCTGATTTGTTCTTTCCTTTCTTTTTTTTTTCTCTTGTTTTTATAATTTAAAAGTATTAATAATATACATTTATTATTCTCCATTTTATATTGATTGTTACTAAGAAAAAATATATACATTTTTATATTAAGTGCCGTTTTAAGATCCCAATAAAACTTTAAACTTTGTTTTCGAATTCAATCCATGATTTTTAAGAAAGTTTGTAGTATCTTTAAACAATTTTTTCTAAACATTCTCCTACTACTTAGTAAATCAAATATTAAATTAAAAACTATATACATTTCTTATCATAAAAATTTTAAAATTTGTTTAATACTTTCTCAATATAATAAGAGTTTAATTTTAATTCCCTGTTAGTGTAATGATTTTTACGTTATCATCTAATTAAAATATATTTTAGATATTATTTTTATATTAATAATTATAAAAATTAATTATTGCTAATATGAAAATTTATGATTAAGTCACAGTGTAAAAAAAATTAACTGTCATTGTATTTATATCAATTTTATATAATAATTAAGATGGTTTATAAGCATAAATGGTACCAGAGTTTATAATTATTCATTTAAAATTAATATTCCATATTGTACAATGAAGCAAACTATTCTATGACCAAATTAATTATTTCAAGAAGAAAAAATAGTTCAATAAAAAATATTATATTCATTGTTTTTTTTTTTTTCAATTCTTCTGAAAAATTATTATCAGAGAAGACCTTTTCAACGTATCATTTATTATGAGATAAAGATTCTACATTGACTATAATAACTGAGAATGGTTTGACGACAAATTTTAATAATATACTTTTAAAAATATTCTTTCATATACTTGGTCAATTTTTTAATTTATTTTTGTAAATTAATTATATTTTAAAAGTTAATCAATTACAGCTGGCTCTCCAATTTTGATGATAAGAAATAAACAAGTAATTTATCAAAATCAATAAAAAAATAGTTCTATGTCATAAATTTATAATGCATCTAAAAATTATTTATAGTAATTAATGGTCAGTACTTCTTTTTTCAGCTAGTATTAATGCATACATATTAAAAAATTCATTAGTTTGATTAATTTTTATGGTAAGAAAAAAATAATTCACTAGAATGCTGTAGTTATTATAATAGTTGGATGATGGCTAAGTTATTTTAATGGTTAGTTCTTATTGTTTCTTATAACTAGAACAAAAAAAACAAGCTAAAAATATGTATAATAACGAGTATTTTATTTTGTTATGAATAATTAAAAATAAATTTTTACAAGAAATATCATATCAGTAATTAATATTAATGTAGTTCTTATTACAATTTTTAAGAAATCATAATCAATAATTTATCTATAATGCATGTCGTTAGGAATTTATACTATTGAATTTTTGTGAAATATATTATATATATATATATATATATATAAATAGAAAATAAATTAAATTATATGCGATTTTAAATTTAATAAAGTTTAAAAGAGGTAATATTTTTATGATAATAATTAGCATTTATTATATTGAATACAACTAAGTTAAATAGATATAATTTTTAAAAGCAAAAAAATTTAACATTCAAATCAAAAAATTGAATATAAGAATTAAATATTAAATGTGAGAGAGATTAGGTGACTATATGAAAATATAATAATACTTAATTAAAAATATTTTCACTTATTATAATTTTATATTTTTATATATCAACTTCTATATATAAAATTTGAGTTAAATAATAAATTAAATATTATATTAAAGATATAAATTTTAAATTAAAAAAATACGTTTGATATCTACAATGAAACACACTATTTAATGACACGATTGACTATTTCAAGAAGTAAAATGGTAGTTTATTAAATTAGTTATTATTATTCTTAATTCCGGTAAAAAAAATATTACATAACAAATAATTCAAAATAGAGGACTTTTCAACCTATAAGATCCTACATTGACTATATTAATATAGAAAATTTTGAATAGAAACATTAATAATATACTATTTTGAATATATTTTAAAATAATTAATTATTTGAAAAAAATATTGTATAATAATATTTTATTTATTTATAGTACAAATATCTTCACTGAAAATAATATTATTCAATCTAGATAAGACCATTTAATAATAAATTTGAAATAAAAAAATTTTGAACATAAATATTAATAATATCCTCTTTAATATGCTTATTGTCATTGGTCAAAATGTTAAACTATTAAACATTTATAATATTTAATTATTTACTATATTAAATACGATTAAGTTAAAGAGATAAATTTAAAATTTTGAGATTTAAATAAAAATAAAAAAAACTATATATTTAATGTGAGATAAATCACGTAGCATAATGTAAAAAATAATAACACTTACCTGAAAACACTTCCTTTAATATAACTTTATATATCAATTTCCATATATAATTTGTGAGTACAATTTCTTAAACAGTAAACATTATATTAATAAAAAAATAAATTTTAAAATTAAAAATTATTAAAAATTCAATTTTATTTAATTTCATATTAAATTAAAATAAATTCTTAATCTACAAAACTATTACTTGAAATGATAAAAGTCAAAATCAATTGCTTAAAATGTTCTGATTTGAAAAATTATTAAATAATACTGCTTTTGCTAAAAAAATTTAGTGCTCAAATTATATATAGAAAGTTGATAAATGTGTTACAGAATATGTTTAAAGGGCTACGTGCTCTATTGAAGTTATTAAGTTAAAAATCTTAATTTTTAAAACTAAATTTAAATAATTGAAAGTAATATTTTTTATAAAAACATATTTTTTTATATTTTATATCTTTAATATAATAGATACCCTTTTAATAAAAATATTGCTTTTTAGATACTTAAGAAGTTAAGAAATTAGGGTAACAAGATTTTTTTTTCCAATTTTTAAAAAGGGTTAGTGTTAAACTCATTAATAAAATTTAAAAGATAATTTTTACCATACTTTATAAATCAAGAGGATATTCTTATATCTTCTCACATGTGAAATAATTATTTCCGTTAATTTATATTAAATATATATATATATATATAAATAGTAAAAATTATTAATTTATTTTAAAAATATATAAATATTTTAAAATTTTTAAAATATTTAAGAAATCACAACCATCAAATTAAAGAAAATATAAAATATCTTTTAAAGATTTATAAATACCGTAGTAAACTTCTATTTAAAATTGTAAAACAACCATTTAAAATTATAAAATATATAATAAAATATAATATAATACAAAATAAGTTATGACTAATGATAAATAATGTTTTAATCTTTTAAATATATATTTTTTTCTTTAGCCCGATAATTGTTATTTATTTATTTTTATTTAGTTCATAAACAAAATTTGTCATTAACGATACTGCCTCTTTTATATTTTTTAATGAAATTTAAAATTATAAAGTTAAGACTTTTAAAATTAAGATTTAAAAATATATAAAAAATAAAGATATAAATATAATATCATTATTCACATTAATTATATGTTATAGTTTACAGATAAAATTAAGTATTACATAAATAAACATCAAAGAGAAATAACAAAATACTAATAGAGTGACTGTATGAAAAATAAAAACGATTTTTGGAAAACTTATTTACAAAAATAAGGAATAAAAAATTAAATTTTTAAAAAACTAACATCTTACTCTAAATGTAAAGTTAGATCTTGAACAAAAATAGTTACTCATAATCGTTTACCAACTTAACACCAATTTCATAATCTTGACATCTCCTTATATATGGAAAAGCTTTACCAATATCATCTATGGGCTTTCCCATGCAATCAAGTTTAGGAGGAAAATGATAACAAGGTTCCATAGAGAAGTCTCTCACACATTGAGGATTCTGGATTTTCTGGTTTTGCAAGTTATGCAGAACCCATGGTTTCAGGCCTCTCAAACTTTGAGCCACATACCCAAAAGTTGAAGCAGAGCTAGTCACCAAAACATCACATAAACTTAATAGATACATTTCTGACCACGCCTTCAAGTTATGCTTCTTATCATTAAACTTTTGATGCCCTTCATGACTTGGCTGATGAACACTTACCACGTCCCCAGAAACAGTTGGTCTTGTCAAATACGTAGTCCTCAAGTTCTCACCATACATTGGATAAAGAGATGCTACAAGAACAGACTTCAAAGTCCGATTCTTCACGGCAAAATGTTTTGAATCTTCAGTGCTAATGTTGGGTAGTATATTATTCTTTAGGGTGCAATTTAAAACCTGATTCATCACGGTTTGATATGGGCTTTCATGAGGGTTAAATACTCTTATTTGGATGCCAATCCTCTCATCAGCTTTGGCTAAATATGCTTCATAGAATCTGCTAATCGGTCCCCATGCCTCATTTGAAGGGTGAAAGAGGTAGCGTCCCAAATGGTGAAAGACAGTGTCTTTCTTAGGGAACATTTTACTTAGCTCTTGACTGAAGGATGGAACCATGAAAAGAGAAGGTACAAAATATTGATTTGAGCACAAAAACAAGAAAGGAACTTCTTGTAGAAGATGTTGGCTATCATCGCATCGGAGAAACCTTTCATGATCTTCAGGGGTATGTCTTAACATCAAATTCAGAACTGATGGTAAAATCTCCTTTGAATTGTTTTCCTTGTGTTTCTTTAAGATGCTATCATATGTTCTAACATGTCCTTTGTTTTTTCTAAAAGGGAAGTCCTTGGGTAATATCCATGATGAATTCGGAAATGGTTCACAAAATAGACCAACCATATCATCCTTAAATTCCACAAGTAGGACTCGATCTGTTAGGATTGCATAGAGAAATGCTGAAACCATGCTCACTATTCTGTTCCCTAAGCCATCTGAAGTGGTCCACACAACGTAGTTACATTCATAGGTAGCATTGGTCCTATGTTTTTGGAGCATTGTCATGGTCCTGTTGTAAGGTGCAGTATTTGGTCCACAACTCTGGTGAAGATCTTCATAGTTGCGTAGTTTGGATATGAGATATGGAGAGGGTTTATGAGGGGATGCTCTGTGATATAAGTAGGATTTAAATCTGCTTAAACATGACCCTTCATCAAATCTTGAAAGGACTATTAGTCCATCGAATCTCTCAGAAGCATTAGTTTTTGAACCTGCAGATTCAGATATTTTAAAAAATTTTTTAAAGGATAAAAAAGAAAAATCACCACATATTACTTGTTTAAAACCAGACATAGAAATTGATATTACCTTCATTTGACCCTGTAAAATTCTTGTCTTCTTTTGCTTTATCATTGACTTTTTGGGTTATTTCTTCCGGAGCAATGTCCTTTGTTGTAACATTGTGATCTTTTCCATTTATTACCTTACTTTTTAAAAACTCCTCAAAATAACCATAATTTGGGGTGAGTGTTAGTATGATTAGAGAGAAAGCTATGGCAAAGATGGCCAAAGAAGCTCCTATCCTTTTGGAACTAAACTCCAACCAATCCATGGTAACTTGATTGCTGTGACTTATAAATGTGCCTCACCTCTACTAATATGCAAGCACTATCTCCTTCTAAGACCAAGATGAATTCACATAATCATTCTCTCAAAATATTAGATTACATATAATAGCATCAATAAGAAAATTCAAGTATACGTTAGAGACACAACAATTAAATGTTCTTGACTTTATTCTAATTGTAAAGCAGCACAGCAACATTAATGTAGAGCCAAAAGCCAACTCAAAAAATCAGAAGACAAGAAATACGATGAAGAGATGAAAGGGGACCTTTTTATCACATTGTTTGTTATTTGACTTTTTTTTGTTAATCGACTGAAAAGGATTAACATGTCCTACATGGAAAGCCAGAATAAAGTTTGCCCAACAAATTGAAGTTCTCAACTTTGACTACAGTAAGCATACATCTAAGAATGAAGAAATCGCCATACAATTAAATAATGCTTATTTGGTTGAATTAGAAGAATATATTCCATAAAACATGTAGAACACAACTAAAATACTTCATAAAACTTATATAATTTTAGGTGAAAATAAAAAACGAATAAATCAGTGTCTACGCATGAATCAAACAAAAGCCAATAATAATATATTATTGTATTTTCAAAAGAATGAAAAAATGAAACAAATCAAAGCCTAGATAGAGTGAGATCAAAGTTGGGCAAAACCACATACCTTTAGAAGATTAAGTATTGCTAATGACTGTTTCAAAACAAAATTTGTGAAGCACTTGTCCGTGTGAATATTATATAACCTTTTTTGTTTAAAGGAAATCCAGTGTACTTACTATGCTGATTCGTTGGGAGTAGTATCAAAAAACATTCTTTTTAGAATTCTAGTAAATCTGATTTGTTTCATTCCTTTTTTTTCTCTTGTATTTATAATTTAGATATATTAATAATATACATTTATTATTTTCCATTTTAAATTGATTGTTTCTATATATATATATATATACACACACACTAACTGTCGTTTTAGGATGTCAATAAAACTTTAAACTTTGTTTTCCAATACAATCAATGATTTTCAAAACGTTTGTTGTATCTTTAAACAATTTTTTTCTAAACATTCTCCTACTACTTAATAATGAATATATTAAATAAAAAATATATACATTTAATGCCTTGTTAATGTAAAGATTTTTACGTATCAACTAATTAAAATATAATTTATATTAATAATTATAAAAATTAATTGTTGTTAATATGATAATTTATGATCAAGTCACAGTGTAAAAAAATTACACTGTTAATGTATTTATATCGATTTTATTTAATAATTAAGGTGGTTTATAAGCATAAATGGTACAAGAGTTTATAATTATTCATTTAAAATTAATATTCCAAATATTACAATGAAGCACGCTATTCTATTACCAAATTGATTATTTCAAGAAGAAATAAAATAGTTCAATAAAAATTGTTATATTCATTAATTTATTTTTCTTTTTAATTCTTCTAATTTTTTTAAATAATATTAAATTTAAACTATAAGACTTTTTCAACTTTATCATTTATTATAAGATAAAGATTCTACATTGACTATAATAATTGAGAATGAATTGAAGATAAATTTTAATAATATATTATTTTAAAAATATTATTTCATAAGATTTGTCAAATTTTTTTATATTTTTTGTAAATTTATTATATTTTAAAATAAATCAATTACAGCTAGTGTCACCAATTTTTATGATAAAAAAATAATTCATTAAAATCAATTAAAAAAATATAGTTATATGTCATAAATTTATAATACATTAAAAAAGTATTTGTAGTGATAAATGGTCAAATTAGGACTTCTTTTATTTCATATTTGTTTTCACTTAGTATTAATGCATACATATTACAAAAATAATTAGTTTGATTAATTTTTATGGTAAGAAAAATTAATTCACTAAATATCCTTGTTAAAAGTGCTGAAGTGTCATATATGAGTAATTAATAATAATGTAGTTCTTATTACAATTTTTGACAGCTCAAAATCAATAATTCATCTATAATGTATGTGGTTAGGAATTTATATTATTGAATTTCTTGTGAACTATTAATATAAATATATTATTAAATTAAAATAATTTTTAAATAGAAAATAAATTATATTATATGCCTTTTTAAATTTAATAATTTTAAAAGAGTCAATATTTTTATTATAATAATTAATATTTTATTATATTAAATAAAATAAATTAAATAAATATTATTTTTAAAATAAAAAGTTTAACATTCAAATCGAAACTGAATAAAAAAACTAAATGTAAATGTGAGAGAAATTACGTGACTATATAAAAATATAAGAATACTTAATTAAAAATATTTTAACTTAACATAATTTTATATGTCAATTTATTTATATAATTTGAGTGTAAACTTTTAAATAATAAATTAAATATCATATTAAAGATATAAATCTGAAATTAAAAAATATGTTTGATATGTCCAATGAAACACACTATTTAATGAAACCATTGATTATTTCAAAAAGTAAATTGATAGTTGAATAAAGTAGTTGTTATTATTCTTAAATCCAACCAAAAATGTTTCATAATAAATAATTTAAAATAGAGAAATTTTCACAAATCATCTTTTACAAGATAAGATTGACTGTATTAATATAAAAAAAATTAAAGAAAAATATTAATAATATATTATTTTAAATATTTTTAAAATTATCAATTATTGTGAAAAAATATTATTTAATAATTGATTTTTTATACTATAAGTATTTTTACTATAAATAATTTTATTTAAATTAAAAATAATTATGCAATAATTAATTTAAAATTGAAGACTTTTTAATGTATTATTTACTATAAGATAAAATATTAATTTAAAATATTTTTTATTTTCTTTTAAGGACAAGTTCATATGCGTTACTCACTCGTTCATCATTAAAAACACTACATCTTATTTAACTTGTATATGTAAGGCATTTTGCCAGTGTTCATTCTGAGTTAGGATCAAACTCTCTATGAATCTTTATGATTCACAGTTCTCTTTCATTTTAAAGCATAACTTTAAAACTATGCACTTCATTTTTGTATGGAATTCACTCCAAAAAATTTAGTCCCCCTTGTGTTAATCTTACAAGTCTCTTATCCATTCTCAATTATTATTTGATTACGACATGAAAATAGAAAAACTTTCGTTGAGTTTAAAGATAATTAGACTTAAGCTTATGACTTTCACTACATCAAGGTAACAATTTACATTGTGTTATACCTCTTGTCTCCATCAAAAAATAAAATTGATTAATCCTATGGCAAAGGGTCAATAAACTAAACGTCACTATTATTAAATAATTTAGAGTCAAACCTTCTTTTCTTTTACTTTATTAAGAAAAAAAAATTATGAGAAAAATTAGATTTAATTGTCAATAATTGCTCTTATAGAAAGTAAAATTGACTATGGATTCAAGCAATAACACATGATTTCATAAAACTGTACAATTTTTCTAAATTAAGAAAAGTGGGTTTTCCATGTAAAAAATTTATCTTAACATGTTCTATTTGATATGGGTAGGAAAAGAACCTAACTTGATTTTCTTTAAAAAAATATACAAAACTAGAACTAAGTCAAGATGATACGGATCAATCCCTCTTCTTGTATTTTTTTGCTAAAGATCTTACCATTTTTGAACTAATTATAGTTACATATATTTTTTTTTCATTTTAGTTCAAGAGTTTATGTGTTTCCTTGCCCCTTCAAGACCTAAAAATTGGATAAATTCATTTTCTTAAGAACACAAACAAGATTTATCACCACAAGAAGGATAATGATGACTCCACTATTAATTACTTCAATTTAATAGTAATAAAAATACATGTCCTAGCAAGACCGAATTTGAAGCTTCCTTTTTGGCTAGTAGACAAAGATTTACTTCCGTGGAAAGGATGATTCATTGGATTGACATGAGAGTCCAACTATTTGCATTGTCAAAACTCGTGTTATATATTTGAAAAAAGGTTGATCTTAATAGAAAAAGAAAAACAGGGATACAGTAGGATTGTACCATATAAGCCTTTTTTTTCATTTTTTTTAGGGGTCTAGAGAAAATTGCAATTAATAAAAAAATTTAAATCCTTTCTTACTGAATGGAAGAACGTGAAATTGTTTTTCCTTTCTACAGGGACTAGGAAATTGGATCTAATCATAAGAAGATAGAATATTTGACTGATAAATAACTCACTTTCTAGTCTTTAACCCTCTTAGTCACTACAAACGCTGATTAGTGCAATGAGATACGTCTATTTATCTATCAATTGACTTGAAATAAGTGTAAGTTTAAAAAAAAGATCTTAGAATGTCTAGGATTAGGTCAAGAAGGTCTATTAAATGTCTTCTTTTTTCTTCTCATCAAAGCATTTCACAAAGACTTGTCATGGTAGGGAAGAAAGAGAAACAAACACACTTGGAGTGTACAATACAATAGTTATCTTGACATCCCTATTTCTTTACAAACCTACGCAATGTGGGAGTTGTTCTAAAATACTTTATTTCAACAAACTCCAATAATATCCTCTTTAATTGAAATAAACACATCTTTTACTTCCATTGTTTATATCAACCATCATAGTTCAAAAGAATTATTAGACTCTACCATAAAGAATATACCACATACATTACATCAACGATAGACACTGTCTATGTGTTATCACTACACATATTGCATCAATGCAATGTGTTATTACGACAAACTTTACATCAATGTCAGCTAATGTCTATGTATTATCACAACACATCTTGTATCAATGTTAACCAATGCTTATATGTCCTTAGAGTAAACTTGAACTTATTTATCCAAGAGATAGAGATATAGCATAAGCAATCAAATATCTTGAGCTCATCAAGACATGACAATGTACCATGTAATAGATGATAAAGTGGTTTGTTGTCTGAAAAATATGAGGAAACGTAATTCATTAGATAAACAACATGAGAATGGATTAATTCTTGCATTCAACTTGTTCATTCTATTGGAGAGTT